GTCCCCCTCATGCGGCAGCACCGGCTCCGGTGAGACCCCCCCGTGGAGGGGGGAGACCCCCTCGACCTCCTTCTCCTTCTCACTGGCACCCCCGAACTGGAGCGGCACTGGGACGTTACTGGTGGGGCGCTGGCGAGGGGCGCCGGCCCCCCAAATTGTACTACTGAGCTGGGGGGGGCACTCAGTGCCGTGGGCCCCCCCAGCAGAGATCTGGGGCGTGGGGGGCGGCATCATCCTGGAGATTTGGGGGTGCAGGGGCTAATCCCGGTGCCCTCTCCCAGGCAGAGATTTTGGGGGGTGGGGGGCTTATCCTGGTGCTCCTCTTCTTCCCCCTTCCTGTCAAAGATTTGGGGAGCGAGGGGCTCACCCCAATACCCCCCCCCTTTGGGACCCATTTTGGGGCATTTTCCTCCTTTTTTGTTTCTTTTAACCCCCTTTTTCTACTCCCATCGGGCACTGGGGTGTGGCCCCCCCACATCTCCATGGGGGAGGTCCCCAAAACTACAGCCCCCTCCACCACACTACTGATTTGGGGTCCCCTCCGGCCCTCCTCGCCCCCCTTTTTTGTTGATTTTGGGTTTTTTTGTTGGTTTTCCCCCTCCATTTTGTTTTTTAACAAAGTGATATTTATATCGTTGGGTTTTGTACCGTGCGGGACGGGGGGGCCCCGGGGGGGGGACACGGGGCCCCCCCAAATTACACGTGTCCTTTTGGAACCCCCCGTGTGTCGTGTGGTTCTTTGGGGGGGGGACACACCTGTGGGCACTGCCTGCATCCCCTCTGGGGGAAATGGGGAGTCACGGCCTGTGGGGTGTGGGGACCCCCTTTCTCCCCACTGAAAGACCCCAGGGGGAGGCTGGTGACCCCCCCCAATAAAACACCCCCAAGGCAGGAGCTGCTGCAGCCTCAGGGCTTTATTGCCGGCAGGAGGGGGGGCAGGGACAGGTCATGGCCGTGTTGACACGTCAGCCCATGGGACACGTGTGGGCTCACGAGGGGCGTGGCAGGGCCCACGTTGACTTGTGTTGACTCACGTTGGCTGAGGTTGACTCGGCCTATGTTGTCGTGTGTTGGCCCACGTTGGTGTGACTTGGCCCACGTTGACTCACGCTGACTCGCACTGGCCCACGTTGACTCGCTTTGGCTCATCTTGGCTCACATTGGCACCTCTTGGCCAGCTTGGCCGCGTTTCAGCCCACGTTGACTCACGTTGGCCCCTGTTGACTCGTGTTGACCTCCCTTGACTCGCCCCCCTGCCCGAGGGCCGCGCCCTCACTTGCAGGTGCAGTAGTACGCGCGGATGGCGTTGTCCCAGTCTCCGAAGAAGCCCCGGCGCACCTCCTGCAGCCGCGGCACCGCGCCGGCGCTGAAGCGCTTCGTGTTGCCCTTCTTGCCCCTGCGCGACCACACGTTGAGCTCGCAGCGGGTGCCCACCACGAGCGAGGAGGTGGTGCCGGACCACTTCCAGGGCATGTAGGGCACGTCGCTGCCCGGCTCCACCTCCAGCGCGTCGCCGGCGCAGCACTGGTCGTAGTAGGCGCTGTCGTCGGTGTAGAGGACGGCGCACAGGCGGGTGCCGTTGGCGGTGCGCAGGTCGGCGGGGGCCGGGCACTGGGCCTCCACCCCCCCGCCCAGCACGGCCACCAAGGCCGCCAGTGTCACCAGCAGTGCCGACGCCATCGCCGAGGCCTCCCGGGCCCCGAGGGCCC